TTCTTTCTTAGCAATGGCGCCTTTTGGGTTCCAAGTCAATCTTGAATTAGTGCTGATAATATGATTTCCGTTAGAAGAAAGTACATGCTAAGAATTCAAACTGATAACGGAAGGGAACTCGTGGAAGAGATAAACGAAAATTCGTTTATCTGGAATTCGTTACGATCTTAACTATAGCTGATGGCGATTGCGCTCTTGTGATATATATTATCATAGTAATTATTCGTTACGTATTTAACAGGCAACTTTCAGCGCGAACAAAGACGAAGAACGATTCGAAGAAACAGCCTAATCTACAAGTATAAAGTATAAACTTCCAGTTGGCAATATTTATTAACAATGCTTCATTCATTCAAGTGATTGCATCTCGCCTCCGTCTGTTGCCACGATCGTTCGTGCACTGAAATGGATGTGACACTTTCATTGTAAAATAGTGGGCTTTTAATAACGCCATCAATGTCGAACGACAAACTAATATAAACCAATATATTCGAATTGCAATACAATTGCGCGGCCGATCGCGGAACGTCCGTACGACTCGCAAAATCGACTCTCGTTTTTGTTTTGCGTTGCCTCAGGGACGATATTTCTCTTTTTCTCTCCGGCGTAGTAAAACTGCCGATTTTTTGTTCTCAATTTGGCGGGGACGCAACAGTATTTAGAAAAATTTCATCTCTCTTTATGGTATATATCAATGCTCGACAAGAAAATGAAAGAGTGGGAGAGACTATGTTTGAAAATATTAATAATAGCGCGTAAAATAACATTTTAGTGCTTTTTCAAATAATTTTCGTATCTTGAGATTTGGTAACTTAAAACACGTATATACAATATCGAAAAAAAACAACCTTAATTTTCATAAATTCCTATATTCGTCATCATGAATTCACTGCAGTTACGTCACACGTAGAAAGCATCAATAAACTGCCAATATAAGATAAATATAATTGCTTCGTTTTGAACGTTGACAGAAATATCTCTAGTAAGACAATCCTATAAATATAACAATAGTATATAATATGACACTATTACACCACCCGAAATCGGGGAATCAAAATAAAGTAAAAACATCTAAAACAAATTTAGACCTCAGTTTTGATATTGTTTTGCTTGATTTTTATCTACCGGTCCCTAGTATGCTAGAAAGATAAAATATGATCTCCCATTTTTTAAAAACTGTCGTTTTGCCTGTCGGGAGATGGATTTTTTAAGATTTAAATCTTCATTTTTTAGATGCTTTTACTTGATTTTGATCTCTTGATCCTAGGTGTTTCAGACAAAACGGTAATTCTTCATGTCGAGAGATTGGTATTTTTTTAGTATTCTTGATAGAAATTGAGCCATTTTTTAAGATCTTGCTCTTGGTGGTTTTTCACCGATTTTTAATCTCCCGATCCCGAATAATCTACTAATGTCATATTATACACTACTAAGAATTCAAATTATTATATATAAGTAAGTAAATATAACTTTGTGTAGTAATTTTTTTTTAATAAACACATTCTGTGATGTTTTCACGAGCTCCCCCAAATTATACAATCTGCTGATTTCAGTGAAAATATACATTTAATTTTATAATGAAACCCGGCAAATGGTCTCTTCTCCCTGGACTCTCGTTCAACTATTTCTGCGTCTGCAATATTCAAAATATTCGCGAAAAAAAAACACGTGCTCGCGCGCTGTTCCCTACCCGTCCGTTTCAACGGCTGCGGCGGCGGGATGGATGGTAGGCGTACGTTTCAATAGCAATGAGCCGCGAAATTGCTTTACGCAATCGGCCATTATTTGCTTGAAAATTTTGCCGCGTATCCGAGAACGAGTCGCCGTTTGATATGATACGAATATTATTCAATGTGCATCGCCGAGCGCGTTTGATTGCGCCGATCGCACAATTATTGATGGTTCCGCCGGTCCTTTCGTCGTGTAATAAAACGCGACCGCGAGCCGCGCGCGTGTTTACGGTGTGCGAGCGCACGGTTACTGCACTCACGCCTCTGCGCGAAGGAGCGCGGATCAACGAACAACGGCAATGAAAAAAAAAAATGTTTTATAAAATTTGACGATATTACAGATTCGCGTCGCATTCGACAGTCCGAAGGTGAGATCGCGGATAACGTAATATATTAACCGCACACTGAAAAAAGGACTTGGCGATAAGTAGTAAAATTTGGTGAATGCTCGCCGACCAAACAATTTAGTCCTATGTACTAAATATGTAATATACGTTAGTATAGTACGATATATGGAACTAAATTATTCGGCTGTAGCGATGAAATATTTGATCGGCAAACATTCACCAAATTTTAATACTTATCAAATCCTTTTTTCCGTGCACGATGAATCAACGGCTTCTTCAGAGACTGAAACACGAGGAAACATCGGAAATGATTAAACGCCGATTTGACAGGCTTTCAAGCGAAATACTTGAAAGTCACTGCTCTCAGATTTATTTCAGGCGCGTCATCAAAACACTTTAGTCCCCGCTATTACCGGAGATAATTTATCATTGCACGCGCGCCCGTCGCTACTTCAACGCCACGAAACGAAGAGATTTTTACACGTCGTCGAAGGAGATTGATCCATGCCGGCTGTCTTGGTGTCTGAACGCTACAGACGCGCGTCACACAATGACGCCTCCTGTCAAATTTACGGAAGAGAAGGTCGTGCCCGTTATTGAAATTTATATCTGTCTCCAGGTGGAAAAGTAATAATAACGCGCGAATCGTGTGTAATATGTGCGGAAAGTCTTTGTACCGGGGAGAGTCGACAACTCGATAACGTCAAGTTCGAGGTCTATGTTAAGAGGAGGAGAAAGTACAGACGGAGAGTGTAAGGGAGCAGCGGTCGGGCTGAAAGGGGCGAATACCTTTTAGGAGCTTAGAGATTACACTTGGGAACGAGCTAGTAGTAATGCAAAGGTGAGTCTCTCTCTCTCACGGGCGCAAGCCGCTCATTCCCACGAAGGATTCGACTGAACTTATAATACCCACCGATGTGGGATCGGTTGCGGCACGAGCCCGCCGTTCCATTGACACCGCGTCGTCGCCTCCCCCGTCACGCTTGACGCATTCATAATTCAATATCAAGTGTCTCTCATTAGGCCGGGCTCGACGGAGCCTGCGAAATTACACGCGGATCCGATTTATTGCCGCTGGACGAGAGGTTCCTTATTCGTTAGGAAGGACGATCGAAACAAGCCCCGGCCACGTGTTCCACGGCGAAGTTCGATCGGCTGGCTGAAGCAATTCGCTCCGACGTTCGCGATCGGGTCGAAATCAAAATTTCCCCCCTTTTTCACTTATAGAGCGGGCAGCTCGCGCTCCTATCGAAATCCTCGCCGGCAAATTCGCGAGATGAGACTTGTCATTTAATGCGAGAGATACTTTGAATAGCAATATCCATTATCGCGGAATTACACTCGAACGGACACCTCGTTTCACCGTGATCGGATTAGGCTTTATAGGAGCGAGGCGCGAGAGGGAGGTGAGTGGGAAAAAGGAAATTTCTCAAAGCGGCGAGGTATCGCGTCGTGGAAGACGAGAGTAGTATCACTTTAATCTGCCACGAGGAAATCTTGTAAATAATCGAAGCAATTATCCGGCTCGGTGGCTCCTCCTGCAAAGAGACTGAACTTTTTCTCACGCAGAGCGAGGAAGAAGGTCGGAGGAGACGTCTCATTTCGTTAAACACGACGACGGATGGATTAGTAATGTAATATCATGCGGTTGCAATGCTCGAGAGATCGAATCGGGATTGTATTATCAAGGACGATGAGAGTATCGAGCGGATGCTGTCCATTCGATCGCTCGATAAATGGCGGTTAAAGTGAGCGAATGTAATTCCTTCATTGTTTCTCAACATGTCGATCAGTGGAAATTGTTGTCGGAACGCTGCGTGATTCACACAGCGAGACACACCCGTTGCGCTCAGTAAAGCCCGCGTGAAAGATTAAACCAAATTCTAATTACATCGCGAGGCGCGTCATAATTTACTTACATCGAATCCCGCGTGCGCGATCGCAAATGTACGGTACGTATACACACCTGCTCGCATTATTAACAATGTCTCCGCCGTCTCTTTGCTGTTCTCACAGTCGCTCTTCCCAGACAGTGTGTCGCGTATTCACGCGCAACAATCCCGGATCGTGTAATGTGCCGGCGAAAGCTTTCCCTGCATGAATACCCAAGTATGCAAATGTCTCCATGGCGTTAGAGACGTTTCTCTCCTCGCCTTCGAGCATCAGCTGAGAGTTCCCGCGCACCGCCGCGCGCGTTACTCGAACTTGTTTACGCACCGGCGCTGCGCTAACCGCGTAGGAGGAAAAATTAAAGCCAACGTATGTAGTAATCGCCGGTCATTCTGCTCGATTCGACGATTAATCTCGGTAAATCACACTTCAATCACAGTCACCTGGATAATCACTAGGTGATCATCCCGCCTAGTCCTACAAGGATATTCGCTGCGCTTCTGACTGTGAAAAATAACGTAACATCTCTTGGTATTACTGTTCATTTGTTTATTTTGGTGTGTACCATTTGGGAGAAACTAAAGTCCAACATTTCTTTGGTTTTCATGCGAAAATCTCCGAATTTGTAAGAATTTGCTGAATCTAAAAATTTCTCAAGAGAAATATTCTCAAAAGAAATTCTCATACGAAGATAAAACTCGCTTACACGAAGAAATTCTACATAGTCCCATTAAAAGTATATTCTTCTTATTCAAGAATAATTTTCATAAATTGAGGGGAAATATATTTAATGGGAAAAACGATATCTTCAAATTGTATTTTCTGGAATATATCACAATTTGAACTGTAGAATCAGTTTGAAAATATCGTTTTTCCCCTGTCCAATATTATTTCCTTTCATTTCATAAAATTATTCTTCGAATAACAAAAATATAATATAATATTTAATATTTTACTATTATATTTTGAAATATTTATAAGTGGAACTTAATGATATTAAATAATATTTTTAGTAGAACTGTATAGAATTTCTTGATGTGAGCAAACTTTACTTTTATACAATATTATATATTCTCGCTTATACATGTGGGAATATGAATTTTAAATCGATATTAATCTTTTTCCGTGTAGTTAATATATTTTGTGTCTCCCTTCCTGAGCCTTAATAAACGTAGCGTCCCGACATCTCGACACCAGATACGCGGTTGACGGCCGCTCGCGATTTACAAGCAACATTATACCGGGTGATAAGGCAAATACCACGGCGCAGCCAAGAGGTGTGTTGCGGGGGTAGCAAAAGACCGAGTGCCGCTTTGATTCCGCGGTATTTATGTTGGCTGAGCTCTCTTTCGGTCGGCCGAACGGAGGTGAGTGGCGCATGCCTCAGGAGGCGACGGCGTTTCCCGAAGGAAGCGGAGATCCCGGGGAATCCGGGGGCTGCCGGTAGTCGGGGCACGTCTCGCAGGATAGAGAAGAGGAACGGACCGTGCGCCACGGCGGCGTGTGCGCTCGTGTGGACACGCGTCCTCGTCGTGCGCACGTGGACCGAAATCAACGACAATAGAGAAACGCGCGGCATTCACGTCGGGGACGAGCGGATAAGCAGCCATACTAACGAGGCGATGCGCGCGCGGAGAGAGATCACGTCCGGCGGCCCGAAGAAGAAGGACCGCGCGCGCGCACACTCCGGGGGGTTGGCGTGCGAGATACAGGGAAGGAGAGAACCGCCGGCGCCGCGATTCGCCTTCTCGATAAAGTAAATAAGAACGTACCGACACGTACGTGTCGCGTGTACGTGCGAGCAGCAATAACGCGCCCGCCCGTCTGCCAACGAATATTTTCTATTGTGTTCCCCTTCTGTTAGCTCTTCAACTTCCTCCCGCCGCTTTTCTTCTTTGTCCCCCGTTCGCTCGTCGCCGCCGCCGCCGCCTCCTCCTCCTCCTCATCAACATCGGCGATATCGGGGTGCACCGAGCTGGATTACACAGCGACGGAGCTACGTGCGCCGTTCTGAGAGGTCCTTTTTTTCCGAATTTCGCAGCTGAAATTTGCTGAGATTTAGCGGGATCTCGAAGAAAGACCAGGATTGCTAACCTTTTCGTAATATAAGGTAATCTCTTCCCGATGAAATATTAGCTGTGATTTCGTTAATTCACTGGCAAATGGCATAATTTAGCGTTTTGAAACATCGGTGGTACATGTGTGTACCATTCGAGAGGGTTAATTTTCGTTCATTTTGAAAGAAATACTTTCGAATTTTGGATTAAGACGAAGCTTCGTTTTCAAAGGCGGTGATCTTTCGAGGCTCCGAAGAATACAATCTTGCGAAGATTAATGTCGACGCACACTTTGCCCAACGTGTTGGCCCTTGACGAGATGTGCGACGATGTACTTGAACGCACTGTTGTGAAAAAAAGAGAGACCCGCCTTCGGAGGTCGCTTCGTGATAACTCATCTTCGACACTTCGCCGAGGAGCCGCGTTCGACGGAGACGTCAAGGATGCGGAACAGCCGATTCGGAACCGCTATCGAATTCTTGGCTCATGAAGGACCCGTGCAGTCCAAGATCTCGGAGAGCCCAGAATCTCAACGGTCCCGTTCCAAGCTTTCGCCACGATCTCGCGGAGCAGCATCGTACTCCAAATTGGTACGAAGTGATCTATGGAAGGTCGTACCGCTCGCGCCTCAACCGTTTCGGATTCCTCGGACGTTCGGGATCACGTTGACTATGCAATTTTGCGGTCTCATACCGGAGAAAGCGCGGGAACCGGAAGCACTCGTCGAAGCACACCACCCCCCTGGATATTCGTATATATTTCACACAAGGATTCCACCGCGTAATATCGGCTCGTCGCACCGATGAAACGGCGATTCGTTCTGCAATTTTCTCCCGGCGATTGTCTTCCGCATACGAGGCATAAGATTATCTCACGATCTCGTTTCACATGTCAATATTTTGAGTCAACCACTTGTATTAGGTACTCAGGAAAGTTTCTGCCTCAATTGCGTGTCACTGTTGCGTGCGTATCACGACGGAATCTCTGATTTGTAGTTGCGCGTTTCTCATTTTTCAATTTTAATATTTGCACCTTGCCACTGAAAAGACAAAAATTTACATTAAAGTTACATCTTATCGCGCAGCAGCGATTTAAAGAGCTTTATAACAATAAATTAAAGTAAGAAAACAGAAACAAAGAGCCTCGATAGTACATTTACCCAACTCCTGTAACTTTCTCACTCTTCAAGTTATTCCTTTCCCATGCCGGAACGCGCGCTTCTCCTTTGTATTTTCGATCTGACTCGAGGAAATGTCGAAAGCCGCGAAAACAAAGATAATCCGTGGGCAGCCTTTTAAGCAGGCATTATCGTGCATTGTCAACAACAACACGCGCGCGCGCACGCAAACACCCGCGAAAACGCGAGCGCGCTGACGCAAAGCCGTGTATGACACATTAATAACGCGGTACAAACAAGGGGGTAAGCTAATTGTCTCCGCGCGTATCCCGAGGACGTTCCGAGCACCGGTGACCCGGTGACGATCGGCGAGCCAACCGGTAATTAGTCTCGATGTAGCCGCGACATAAATAATAAAGCGGCTGCGGCTGTGGATCGTAAGCGTGAAATATGATCGGGGCGCGCGCGATCTTTACATGGGTTTACGCGGCGCGGTCCGTGTGGGCGGGGTGCGCCAAGGTATAAAGCCTTCGTTTACCTCTGTGTCCTGTGTGACAGGCATAAACGAGGCAAACCGCGCGGCGGCCTCGACCGGGCGAAAGCAATGAAAACCGCCGCGCCGTAAGCGACCGCCGACGGCGGATCCGCAGGTAAGCGGCGGATAGCGCATGGTGAACGGAAGTAATCCCTGTGGCGCCATAAACGCGAGCGTACATCACCCGCACGGGATAACCGTCCGGCCGCCTACCCGGAGCGAGCGACGAACGGAACGCGCGCGGCAACACTTTTATGAGATTTTCTCTCGTAAAGTATGTACTAGGCGTTTTCCTCCTCAGCCTGTTAATGCGTCCCTTCCGCGGAAAATAAGATAATAATAATAACTGCGTCAGACGCGTCGCGCAATACAATCGCCGCGGCTGAATTAAACCGCGATCGACGTGCGCGTCCACGCGCGCATCGCTACCGGGAAGCGTCTCGTATCACCTCGATAAATTCCTGATGATGTTACACGCGACACAGGTATTTTTACGACCGACAGCGTCCGCGTTAACGTATACTGAGGAAAAGGTTTCTTCGAATTTAATAAACTTCGTCGCATCCAAAGAAATTTCATCATTGGTGTATTCCAAAGAAGCTGATGTTCCGATTAATAAGTACGATTGTTAGACTTTTCGGCGAATCTTTATCCCGATATCTTTATCTTAAATAAAAGATTTGCTTGAAACGGGAGAGAATTTTCTTATAAAGAAATTATTTGTTCCATTTTACATACTTATTGCGACCAAATAATATTTTATTTGGTTGAGAGATATTATTTCAAACAACAGCGTTCTTTCCGTTAAATAATAGAGTTTTCTTAAATGAGACAACTTTCACTCAAACAAATAATATTTCGTATGTGTTGTTTCTATGCAAAAATTTTAGTAAAATAAATAGAAATACTTAATTCTAAAGAAACCTTTTTTTTCTGTGTAGGCATCGCGAATAATATTGTTCGTTGCTGAGGTTTATTTAGAGGACAGACCCGCTCGTGTCTTTTTGTATAATTGTGTAGAACAGACTTAATTTGATAATGTGGACATGGAAAAAGGAATACTTGTGTTGTGTCGCACATATATGTGTGACGACGGTAGCGAATGTGTTACGACGGCAAACCGAAGAATATTGTTCGAGATTTGTAATTGAAATTGTCAATGTATGATGCTCCTTGCGGAGAATTTCAGAATGGCTCTTAGTGAGGAATTAATTTGCATTTATATCGCGCTGGAATTCAAATGTCGAAGGTTGCGCATTTTCATGCAGACGCAGCGGACTATAAATAATACGCTTTTTCTCCTTCTCTGGCAATGAATGAAGATATATCACGGATAGAAGTGAAAGATATAATTGGAAAACCAAGAGGAGTTTGTGTAAACTGGCGACTATAAACGCAAGCGCGTTATATTTTCCGATACGTAACAGAAAATTCAAAGTGGGGTGGGAGGTCCGACAGGAACGACGAACTGAGAACGAGCTCTATAATTCCCCGTACTGATCTGAGCTGCCGCCAATTTCGAGGCATTCTTTATCGGATCGAAAATTGAATTCGCCGGAATTACAGCGGTTTCAATCTCCGAGCCGACGTTGCCATGTGAACTCAACGACCGCCGCGTTGACATCTCCGATCCGTCCTTTGATTCATCACGGGAACTGTAGAAGGGAGAACAAAAGGAGTCTTCACTCCGACGTTTGTGTTGCGCGCAACACGTGCGTTGCAACCAACACGGCACACGTCTTTCCTTTACTCCGGACAGATCTTTAGACAATCGATTGCCGATTCGTACAGACAGTCATTCGCCAGCCGCAGAGTCGCCGGCTCATTGTGCCGGGGTGCTTCTTGATATTAAGACATCACGACCAACATTGAAACATCGTGATTCGATTAATTGAACGTGCCAATCTATCATCGCTAACGACAAGAATGACGAAAAGCTAAATGGCGTTGCGTGCTGACCCTTAATCGAGTTGCCGGAGTTGTATATCGCAGGAAGGGAGGAAGGAAGGATGACGGAACGAAATTATACGTGACATTCGATCAGGATATTATTGTTGTTTTTATAAACGATCCATGGTCTTCCGAGCGAGTATTCAAGATGCAGATCCGTTGGATCTGCTAAAATTAATAATCCTTTTAAAGATTATCGCACCTGCGTGATGGTGTTTCCGAACCAAAATCGAAAGTTAAGTATTTCAGTCATGACACGTAAATACGATTGAGATTTCATTTTGATTATTCTGATTTTTGTTTCTTTATCTTAGCGAAGAATGTAATCTCGAAGATCGCTTCGATATGTAAATACAACAGGAAGTGTAATATTCAGAGAGAGAGAGATATATGTTTATGCGATGTATAACAACTACAATTTTTTTTTTTACCTTCAAAGAGGAAAAGGAAAGAATGAAAAGATGAGATTACGTGTAAGAATACGGACAACCAGAAAGGAGGAAGGGAGTTCGAAAGGTCGTTTGAGCGAGCTGCTTTCGATGATTGACGACAGTCGCTTCGCGGTTTAGAAGCGGTTCAGAAGCGACCAGCCAAGATTCACTAATCAGTCGTTCAAGTCGTTACCTCGCGATCTTTCCTTTGACGACGAGATTTGCCAACGATCGGGTCGTGAATTACCAGATATCGGCGCTTCCTTCTGAGACAAGTCAGGCGGGACTCGCTCGTTCATGCAAGGACGATGACGAAATTATTCACCGGGGCTCCCTGAAGAACGGACGCAACGACGTTCAAATTGAAGCACGAGAAGAGCTCGCTCGACCATGATCTCGCAGGCGTTTCAGGCGTTACTCCTCTCCTTGATAGCCGCGCATGGCTCCATCGGGAACACCGGACACATCTTCAGGATCAAGTCGAACGGTTCGTCCGTCCGACACGAGGACGCTCGAACGTCGCACGACAGTGACAGCGAAAGCGCGGTGTTACTAGCTCGAGAGCTCGAGTTGCTCCAGCAGACGATCGGCGTGATCCGCGACGACACTTGCAGAAACGAGTGCCGGTCCGTTCTGGCCGGACTGCGCGACCTGGCCGGATGGGCGGTGAAATTTTACGACGCCACCGCGAAAATGCCGACGGGCGTCCTGGCGGGCTCCGTTTATCAATTGGGCAACTTCGACGAGTGCCTGGACCTGGACGACGGGGCACCGGCGGGTATTCGCGGACGATACTGCCTCGGCGAAATCGACGTCGGAGTGCCCGAGATTTATCTCGGTGAGAACGGCTCTATATGGGAGGCTTTCAGAGACGCCGAGGAACGGTATCGGGAACCGATAAGGAAATTGTACTGGGGTATCTGCTCGCCGGCCGGATGCGCCGCCGAGGATATCGAGGAAGTCGTCCGGGAAATCCTGGCTGTGGCCTTCGGCGGCTCTCGTCTGAGACTGACGGTCGCGATGTCCGAGATGTCGTGTTACGAGAATGAGTTCGAGGCCGTCGGTACTCTGGATATTATTTACGTGTAAGTCATGGATACGTTTGTAGAATTCTTCTTAATCTCCCAATTTTCGGATATTCCATCGGATATTTTTTCACAACTTTCTCAATTAACGAAGTCCACGGAGCCGCTGAGAGTCCTCTTGTCAAATCTCGTCCCGCTCGCTAATTTTATCAGCGGAAAACGTTTATAAATTGCTACAGCAAAGAGGATCTTAGATTAAAATGTAAATGTATGTATATGTGCGTGTACAGTGATAAATGGATTATCACGTAACCGACCGTGTCATCCTCAAAGTGCCGAAAGCTTTGTGTAAAATACACGAAAAGACCTTCCACGAATAGAAATATATCCGATTTAATTCAACCGAAATATCACCTTTTTTCGGCTCAGCGAATCACAGAGCAAATTTAATTTCTTCCGCTTTGCGCAGGTGCGCGATCTTGTGTGTGATTCTGATGATCCTCGGTGGCACCGTATTCCACACCGTCTGTTTAAGAAACAAAGATGTAACACCGGACGGAATTTTGCTCAAGATTCTGATCTCTTTCTCTCTGATATCGAATCTGAAGAAACTTTTTAGTCCCGCGCAGGTCGACAACTTACATCTGGATTGTGTTTCCGGTATAAAATTCATCTCGATGGTGTTTATCGTCGCCGGACATTCGCTCGTATTCATCATGAGTGGCCCGGTGTATAATAAATATTTTTACGATGAGGTATTCACTTAGACCGCCCTTTCTTATTTTTAAGCGACCCGCGTTCCCTCAAATAAGAAAAAATGTTGTTTGTTTAACCAAGGCGGTAACCAAGATCGAGAACTCGATATTTCTGAACAATCCCCTGCTGGTCGACACGTTTCTTTTGTTGAGCGGTTTCCTCTTCTGCAGCGTACTTCTTCGAGAACTCGATAAGAGAAAATCGGTGAATTTCCTTCTCTTATACGCCGCACGTTACATCAGGTTAGCATATGAAATTTATATATCATTAAAATAAGATTAATCATTGGCAATTTCTTGCTAATATTATATCTTCTTTTTCAAATTTCTGCTTTGACGTAACTCGTGTTCTTGAAAGAAACAAAGCTTTTGAGCAAACAGACGTATCATTTCCAAAAACGCGTGTGTTCTCGTGAAACCTGTATTTTAAAGCGTGTGCTAATTGTTTTAATATGTTCATTTCTTCCAACGCAGATTAACACCTGCCTATTTTGTAATGGTAGGCCTTTATGCCACGTGGTTGACACAGCTGGATCGTGGCCCACTTTGGTCCATGATGAGGCAGGAGAAAGAAAAATGTTTGACCTCGTGGTGGGCTAATCTTCTGTACATAAACAATTACGTCAACACGCACAAAATAGTAAGCGCTTCAAAATTACCGCGAATTAAAAATTACCAATTAACCTCGAATAAATAATTTATGTACAATGAATACATTTGATTTTCCGTGTATGAATCTATTTTTTTTTTTTCTTACGCATAATCATTTTCCGCGGTCTAGTGCATGTTCCAATCGTGGTATCTCGCTGTGGATACGCAACTTTTCGTATTAGCACCGGCAATCATATATCCTTTGTGGAGATGGCGCAAAATTGGAAAATATTTACTCCTCGGTGCAACAGCAATTTCGATGGCGATACCTTTCGCGATGACGCTTCTCGGCAACTTGGATCCGACGTTAATGGTCTATTCGCGGTATGCTTTTCAGAATTTTTAAATTAACAGCAAACGATTTTCAAAAGTATAGTATTGATGCAAATTTATATGGACACAATTTATTGCCATTTGTGTAAGTACCGAAACCAGTTATGATAATTATTTTATAAGCTGCATTCTGAAGTGTGCTGGCAGTATTGAAAATCTATAATTGACGTTACGTAACTATGGATTTTCAATACTATTATTAGTGCTTTTCGAAGTTCAATCATATTAACATTTGGTATTATTTAATTAAAAACACAGTGGAGTGTTATATTTGTCGTCGCGTATTAAGTTTTAACGCTCGACCTCGTCGAGATAACTCGATTAAATATATTTTTGCAGTGAAATTAAAGATATTACAATTAATCATTTCTTTGCGAGCGCTTACATTAAAACGCACATGAGAGCGGAATCATACTGCATTGGTCTTATATTTGGCTACGGCGCTTATCGATTACAAGCAGGCGAACGTAAATTGTCGAAGGTATTAATTATTTTCTATTTAATACAAATTTTGTGCGAATATACAGTCCCAGAATAACCAAATTGGGAGAACACCGGTGGATTCTCGATACTAAACGACGCAACTTTTTTTTTATCAAAATACGGTTGGATATTTTTCAAGCATTTTAGAGCTTTTTAGAATTTTTGAATTAGCGTATTAGATTACGCATGAGTCATATAGGCTGTTTTATATCCCAATAAAGATTTTATTACACAGTTATGCATAATATCTGAATTTACCGCTATTTTGAATAGAACTTATTTATATGAATAATCGGTATATAAATAATATTTCAAATCAATTAATATATTTTTAAAACGTTGGAACGATATCCTGTATATGTACGATTTATAATGTGGCGATTAATACGAATATCATATTAAAGTGACGAGTTTACTGTTAGATGTATTAAATTCTTTTAACAATTGAATACATACACGTGTTATTTTTGCATTTGTATATAAAATATATTAAATGTTGCGGCGTGTAAATTAGGCTTATTAAAATGTGAATTATACGACGCAGAAATTTATCATATTTGGGTGGTTATTTGCAACACTTTCGCTGCTGATATCGATGTTCTCCATTACAATATTTTACAACGTAAGAAAGGACTTCACTGTCGTCGAAGCTGCAGTATATTCACCGCTACATCGATTTCTTTGGTGCATGGGCGTTGGTTGGATTTTAATTGCATGCATCACTGATAACGCAGGTATTAGTAATCATTTTTCTTAAAAATGATAAAATGACTTACACATCGAATGCGTACACGGGTTAGCAAATGTACCAAGCAAAATGTATGCTTTCTTTGACCGCAGGACCTATAAGAAACTTCTTAAGATGTAGAATGTTTGTCGTCCTCAGTCGACTGACGTATTCTGCGTATTTGGTAAATGGTTTTGTCGAATTACACAATGCAGCGACCCTCAGGACGCCACAACATCTAAATAATTTCCAATTAGTCAGTACGACAACCATATCAAATATAATGTATGTGTAATCGATAAAATAAAATATCTTTCCTTTTAGTTACGTACAATATTGTCACATGTAATACTTACATTCGGTGGAGCTGTTGTGCTGTCGACGATGTTCGAATCGCCAATACTTGGTCTGGGACGGACGTTTTTGCAAAAAGGTATGTTATATTATGATTACAAATTGAAAATGGAAAGTTGTACGGAAAAATTGTATTCAGAAAATGATAATTAGGCACTTAATCATTTCTAAACAGAGAAGAATAAAATTAGCCGCTTATGTTAAAATCGACAGTAAAATTAAAATTATGTAACAAAATATTAATTACTAAAGTTAAAATTATTTTAATTATAACAATTTAATTAATTCGTGCCAAATTTCTAAAAGTCATTCATTACATTTTTTCAATAATTTTACTATCAGTTTATTATAAGCACGATATATATTATTAATTCATGTACATGACCTCATTAAATTGACATGTTATCGACTGTTATCGCAAGAACGATGCTAATTTTAATATTTTATTTAAAAATCGTTGAGTCCACTATATCTTTTAAGAATTCAATATTTTCTCAAAGGATAGCACTTTAATTAAATAACCGATGTATATACGTAATTATCGTCTGTCTTTATCTTTTCAGAGAAGCAAGCGTTGAAACATAATCCCGACGAGAGAATCGATACGTCGAACGTGTAATGTACATGAAAAGTAAAATGCTCATCAGAACTGTGCAGAACATTTTCTTTATCATTTATTAACTCACAATATAAGGAGTAATATAAACCTCGGTCGTCTCTCTCTCTCTCTCTCTCTCTCTCTCTCCCTTTCTCTCTTCATATATCTTCCTATTCCTCACGTCTCGAGAAAAATTCCTCCTCGCCAAACACGTAGCCCGTTCGAGCGCTACGATTCAAATCGATCGCCTCCCCCCGTCGAAGAGTCCTCATCTTCGAGCAAACTTGAAGGTAAGGCATAATCACTCTCGTGCAATTGTCTAAAATCATTTTCGTCAAGTTTCCTCCTGCTCCCAATCCCAATCCGCTTCCTCCGACTTGTCCCTCCGGCCGCGGACTCCACCTGCGACCTCCTCTTCTTCGCTCTCCTCCTCACCCGGCCAGTTAAATCTCGAGGAATCCTCGTCGGTTTCAGATTTTGAGCTCTGCCTGTCGCGCCCAGCCCTGCTGTAGTCCGTCTCGTCCGTGCCGGATTTCGAGCTGGTCCTGTTATCCTCCGTGTCGGTGCTTCTACTTCGCAACACTACGACGCTAGCCTCGTCGTCGGCGCACGACTCGATATCCTCGGATTGCTCGCCGCTGTATTCGCGTTTGACCGGCGGCGGCTCCTTGGGATCCTTAATGGCGTACGCCGACGAGCCGTCTTCCTCCGACCTGGACTTCTGCATCTGCCAGGCCTTCTTGAACGGGTGCTCGCGCTCCTGCTGAACGAGCTTGGGCCTCTCCGGCAAGAGGTACTCGGGATCCTCCTCGCTGGCCTGACTCTTCACGATCGATTCCCGCTTGAACAAGCCGGTTGACGGTTTCACCGGCAGGAGTTCAACGCCTTCCTTCTTCACGACGTTCCAGCCGGAATCCGCCAGTTCCTCCTGCGACAATTTCGACAGATCTTGCAGGGACTCCCTTTTGCTACTTCTCGTCAGGACGAAATTGCAGCTGTTCGTGTCGTCCTCCTCTTCCAAGGAGGTCTTCTGGCTGCCGCTGTTGTAGGACTGCCTCCTCGAGGTGTCCTGGCTACTCTCGTCCTCGCTTTGGCTCTCCTCCCTCGACGGCGGGCCCTGCTCGCGATACTCCCTCCGTCGCATGTAAATGCCGTCATCCTCGGGCTCACTCGGCTCCTGAGAGGACCCGAGGAGCGCGAGCCGCGGCCCGACGCTGACGGTCCACGAGTCCATGTTGTCCTCCGCCGAGAGCTCGTCGCTCAGCAAGGCTATCCTGCCTTCCGCGGAGGACCTGCGCTTCAACGGCTCCGCGCCGGTCTCGCCCTTCTCCTCGCCCAGCGACTCGCTCTGCTGGGAGATCAGTTTCTCCATGAACTCCTTCCTCCGTATCCGCAGCTCGCGCTCCCACTCCTCTTCGTCGCTCGAAAGGCGCTCGGGCTTCGGCGCTCGCCCCTCCTCTCTCTCGGAGGAGAGCGTCCTCCTCACCTCCGGCTGGTTTTCTCGGGAGAACGGAGCTTCTCTCCCGACGAATTCCCAGGAACGATAATCGTCCGCTTCCCTGCCTCTGGATCGCCGGGACTGACGCGACTCGTCGTCGCTCTCCCTCGACGCTGATCTCTTATTCTCCTTGCTGCGGGATGACGAACGCCTGTTCCGTTGACTCCTCAGGAACTCGATGGTTTCTTCCTCGGAGTCGTCGGTCACGTTCATCGGCTTCCTGGTAGGACCCTCTCCGGATGGTTTTTTCGTCGCCGGCTTTCCGCTCGACACCTCCTCGGAATCGCGCGTCGTCTCACGATCGACGAACGGCATCCGCTTGCCGTTCGCCTTCTTCATCGTCGGTACGTCCACCGTTTCCTCCTCCGCGTCCTTCCGCCAATCGATCGAGTCGTCCTCCCCGCGCGAAACGTCCGCTCGCTCGTCTTTATCCTCGACGCTTGTCTTCTTATCCTCCGAAGTTTCGAGCGTCAAAGCGTCCGTACTTTCCATTATGACACTCTTCACCTCCTGCATCGGCAGATCCAGGAGTAACGTCAACACGACTGACGCGGCTATCACCGTCGCTACTTCCAGAGGATCGATCTGCAAACGTAAGGATCATGTACTTCGATGCGATTCGGAGTTACGAATGATTTCTAGTCACGACGCTTCTGAAGGCGCTACAACAGTCGGAAGGACGCGTTCTTTTGACGGCCGGAAAAAAAATATTCTCGCTCGGACTTACCGCCCTGTGAAATTGAAATCCCGCGGAGAATCTCGTGGTCCCGACGTTGTAGAAAAAGATTGCGAATTGCGTCAAGTAGACGGCGTACGATATCCTGCTGAAGACCACCATCCAATAGCTCGAGAGAAATCTGTTAATAACGCCTGCGGAGCGAGTGATTATTGCGTGTCAGTGTTATATTTACATGCCCAACCGGTTATCACATAGCGTTAACAGACCTCCGTGCTCCGTGAAGCAGGCAAATATTGACCAGCATAGAGCGACGGCCCACAATACCGGCCCGATTACCGCATAGTGAGTGGCTTCTTCAGCATCGTACACATAGTCTCGTCTGGCCTGACGCCAGGGTGAAAATAACGACCATGAACCCAAAGCCGTCGCGATCAACCAACCCAAGATCACTAACACCTGAAATTAGGACCTCGTTGCTTCGATCAAGCGCGACCACGAAGCGCCTACCTATCTCTACCTTGTGGATCCTGACGTTCTTCCCGGTGTGATGTAACAGCGCACCGAGGCCCACGCCGAAAACGTACGGCGTGGCCCGGTGCAGAGGTAATGCGTAAGTTAAATTAGCAGTCTTGTAGAGGCGTTTCAATCTGCAATCAAGGGAAGGTACACAGTGAAGATGAAATTGTACGGACGCGTCGTCGAGACGAGGCACTCGAGAAATGTACTCACGATATCCCGTGAAAGATGACGAGAGACAGATAATTGTTCATCGTCGCGATGTAACGAAGCGTAGCGGATAGAAGGACGAGGAAGGTCATTATGAGGACACCGATGAGGGGTTTATACTGCAGGAAAAAGACTAATATAGGAGCCAAGAGCGACAGCTGCATGTCCAGAGCCAGCTGATGCGTGTGTGTGGCGCACTGTCAACAAAGAAAAGAAAAAGAGAATCGCGCGTCAATGTTCGATCTTGAGGATATCGTCTACTTACCATCTCCTCGAACGGAAAAAAGTTTTGCACGTACAACAAATTCGTCCACGCGTTGTACTTGCACAGTTCCGCGTTCGCTCCGACAATGTTGTTCCATTGCGGACCCGAACCGACGTGTTCCATGATGAAAGCGTACCAAAACACCACCGCGAGCAATGCTGGTGTAAGTCTGAAACGCACCGTGGGGTACAGTTTTGATTTGATTCAAGCAAGGCAGCACGGTCGGTTATATATATTTCCCTAGATCGAGAGTTACACGATTTTCACACAAAGGTCAGAATCGTTATAACTAGAGTTACTTACGCGACTTTCAGCCTTACGCTTATACACATTAAGATTCAGAATTTCGCGAACTCTCGATCTGTGAAATAGCACGACCCCGAGACTGTACAGGAATTTAGGTGAGCGGATACCTGATGAATCTGGCGGTGAAACGACAGAACCAGCGAATCTCGCCGCGAGTCTTCAGCTCGTTCGCCATATTGTAAGCGGTGAGAACGCCGCTCAGCAGCAGGAAAGCGTCCGTGTAAACCAACGATACTCGCAAAATAGAACTGGCCGGGCTGTTGGCGATCTGTTTAAACATAATTCAATCGATGTAGCGGCACGCCAGAACGTTATAATCCGGGTTTCCACGTCCGACGGTCTTACCTCGGTAAGAGAGGTACGGTTACTAAACGGTATTCGGGAAATTGTTATAAGCTGGTGAGCAACGTAAAGAGCGATCGTAGCCAGCGCTCTTATTCCGTGAATACACGTAATATCCGCAGCACCCGTCGCTTCCTTCAATAAGGCTTTAATCGTCCTTCGCAAGGAAAATGACATGATTATCCTTTCAGAGTAATTTCCTGCGAAAAAGATACGCGTATTATACCGTAATTGCGCACCTATACACCCGAGCTGAAATATCTCTGCAAACACAATTTCGTAGTTTCCTTTCGTAAGAGAGATCTATTCATAAAAAAAATATAAATCGCATACCCTTTCCTTGCGTCTCCACGAGGTAATCCCTCACAGTCGCTATAATAACGAGACAAATGATCATCGCGTAAAAATATCTACAATATAAAATAATGAATTAGAACAATATGGATTTCATTTTTTTTTTCTTTCATTATTTTTGGAATGCTCCCATCGTGGTTTTTCTTTTTTTTTTTTTTGTTTTCTTCAATGTAACAAGGAAATACGTACAAGACGCCGATCGTCTCCTTCGAGTAACTCGTGGACTTTTGCTTAACGTAACACATGTCGGGATCGACGTCCACCGTGAATTTAATCCCGACAGTTGTATTGTAGTCGCTCAAGGCGTTTTCTAACGCGCGCTCGGCGTCCTTAGCGGAACACGCCGCGGGAAGGCACAGCGCCCAATTCATCGTGGTGAATTTCGGGATGAAATGACCGGGCTGAAACAATCGATGACTCGTTGGAAGAATTCAGAGTCTCAGGTGCCGGAGATTCCGAACGCTTAATTATTTCAAAGCCACGTGTGTGTTGAAGAAAATGTTCCTTCGTCGTTTAAATAAGACTGTGTCCGTGAATGAATGCGTCTGGCGTTCTCTAGGCACTTGGCCAGTTAAATTGTGCATTTCGCTAAGATAAATGATACGGAATGCGTGCAGTCACAGAAACGTTCTATTCGCGGTAACTCATATTATCTCCACCGAAACCTCTTACGTCGTGCATGTTGCCTCGTATAAAAGCGCGGGCTTGCATTAGATTGACCGGCAGCTTCATATCCGGATGGGAAGCGTGCAGGTCCACGGTAGCCAGGCAATATTTCCCCTGAATTCTTATCGTCCTCTCATCCACTTTAACATGCGCCAACACACCCAAGCACTGGTCGTAATCCCCGAGCTGATTCACGTTTCCTCGCAACAAGCCTGACGGAATCTTCGCGCTCGAATCCAGCACTGGAAGCAAAGTAAGCTCTTATACCGACAAAGTCGATGCTGTTTCGCCGAATCAAAACACTCGGATATGCGAGCAAAAACCTTCTCCGGTCGAAGCTCCGATCGTCCGATTACATCTATACTGCGTATTCCGTTCAAAGGGAAAAGTTTATAGAGAAAAAAAGAGTTGCTGAAACTAAACTGGTGTACGTGAAATAGTTACGTTGCTACCCGTTCGATTTATAAGCGGTATTTTGCTTTGGAAGAAATTTCGACCGAAATAATGGATATTAGATGAAGCATTCGGCCGAGATGAGACGTAATTTGATTTTGACTCGTCGATGCTCCGAAATAGAATGAACACGGTTATTTCTGTCAATCGACTCACTTTGCAGCGCCCACAACCTGTAACCTCTCAATTGTCGCAGGAATATCTTGCCGTGCCGCTGACACTCGGGATCCTCAACGTTCGTGAAATTTGGCACGAAGGTCGGTACGCGCAGAATTGCATCATTCAGCTCGGACAATGTGATGTCCGTGTGTTTCCTCGCTTTCGTCTCTCTTCGTTCTAAAAAGTAATCGATCACGCGAAAGTGTTCTCCCGACGTCGCACGAGGAAGCTCAAAAGAGCGTGGTTATACTTTCACCGTTAATGTACTACTACATTACCGAGAGGAACTGCACGAGGAGGAAGGAAAAAGGCGCGGAGGGAATTCTCTATTTAGAAAGAAACAATGAGAAATTTATCCGCGCGCGGGAGAAAACTCGGTGAGAAGAATGAGAGAGAGAGCGGCTCTGTTGTGTGGATCAAGTTTGATTATTAATTAATTTACTATTGTACGGCCGATATGTACCTATTCACGCGGAAACACATCCTCCGGACGAAGCCGCGCTACTTTTCTTATTGAACCATTTTCACATAATACTCACTCTCCTCCGCTCGCGAAACTTCCACCGACGGTCTCGAAGTTGGTCCTGCTTTTTTCACGTCCGCCCTCTGCGGTGTCTTCGCTTGCTCCCTGATCTTCGGCGCGGAAGGTTCGGTCTTAGGAGCGGCCGTTTTAACGGCTTTCTTCGTGCCTTCGGATAATTTCTTCGCGCTCTCCACGGGTTTCTTCGTACCTTCGATCGATTCAGGCTTCTTCTTCGTGCCTTCGATCGTCTTTTTCACGGCCTCGGCTTCTGGACGCCGAGTCGCGACGTCAGCCGGCTTTCTCTCTTCTTGCTTTGGCTTTTCCACGGCGGGCTTGCTGGGTAAAATTTTAGCCGACTTTGCTTTATGCGCCAATCTCACTTTCTCCAACTTCTTGGGAGCAGTCTTCTCAGTGTCAGCTTCTTCATCTTCCTCGCCGTCGTCTTTGTCATCGTCGCTCTGCGAAACCTTAATTTTACTTTGGTCTTGTTTCTTGTGCGATGCACTCACTTGTTCCCTAACTGGTTCTATCTTGCCTTTTCGTTTATCTGTCTTCATTGTTGTCTTTTCTTCGCTGTCTTCGTCCTCAGCGTCGTCATCAGTTTTGCTTTTACCGTGTTTCACCGACTTGACAGTTTTTGCGGTTTTAATCTGCGTCTTGATTTCCTTCACGATTTGCTTCTTCAAATCCTTTCCGAGAATCTTCTCGCCGACATTGTCGATATCCTCGTCGGACGTTCCCCCTTCGTCCTCCTCATCCGTTAGATCTCTCTCGGAGTCTCCCACTGATCCATTATCCTCTTCCTCCTCCTCTCCGTCTTCCACTTCCACCAGCGCCTCTTCCTCCTCCTCGTCGTCATCCACCTCGACGCTCTCTATCCTGGAAGCAGCCGACGTCGGCTCGGCAGGTGGTTCTGCGCTCTCGTGCCACTTTCGAGCCAGGTACGTCGTTTTGTCGGGGCAGACTCTGCCATGCGTGGGAACGACGGAGTCGCGAATCCGGAAGCCATAGCAGGTGGCGTAGAGCAGCAGGACGAGGCCCAGCAGCGCGACGCACTTGCCCAGAAGGGCGACAGCCATGACAGAGCGGCCTTCACATCGAAGAAGAGACGAGGACCGGACGCCGCTGGCGAGGCGACGCGTCCCGTCGTCGTTCTTCGGCTTCTCCTACGGACGGCCGCCGCTCTCCACTCCTCCGCGCTTCTTCGCTTCGTGATCACGCGGAATCGTCGCGCAGGTCGACGTGGCAGACCCCGGGCCACCACGTCCACAGCCGGCCGTGCCTTCGAGGAAATTAGAGCGCATGGCATCGGCCCAAGCAGCTAGGAGTTTTATTTAGCATCAACATCTCCGACCGCCACCAGCGGCGGCAGCTCCTCCGACTGCAGCTGCGGCTGCGTCCACGCTGACGGAGCGGTGGCGCGATTCATTGCACAAGCTATCGGCGATCGCATCCATGCAATTTCGTCGCGATAAATAAATAAGAGCTTTACAGAAGAATGGGATTTAGTGCTCCGGAGCGGCGCCACTGCGACGACTCGGCTCCGCCGAATTTCGATTCGTATTATTATTCCGCGAGGCAAGGCGGCGGTAAACGCCACAGCGGGGGAACGCTCTAAGTTGGCAGTAATATCTGCGCTCTAAATATATATTTCGTGTGTTATCTGTGAAAGGGAACGCACGGTCCATAAAAAGCATGAATATGATTTCTATATATATATATATATATAATATAAAAACATATTTAATGCCAATAATTAATAAATAAATTTATATATATTAACATAATGATATATAATTGTTATTAGACGATAGCACTAGTTATTCTTTATGAAGTACTATCATTTACTTGAATTTAAAATATATTTAAAATAAATTCGGGAATGTATAAACTTATGAAATACTTGGAACAAGTATAACGTTTGCTTCAATGCAGTATATATTTTTCTATGTGTATTAGATCTCCTAAAATTAACTATATTTGTTCTTATTAATTTACTCATTCTCATTTACATTTGGGTGCGTCAATTTCCCAAGCAGCGAGTGATGAAATTTTAATGAGCATTCCCAAACCAGTAATTGCATTCAAATGAATACGATTACACTTGGTGATTGCGATTATTTATTCATAGTTCTATTTAGGTCGCGAGATAGCAAACGAAAACACGTTGATCCGCTTATCCGCGAATTTAATCAGTTCATCTCAGGGAACAACGGTGGCGAATTTTGCGCACAAATTAGAGAGGACGAATATACGAAGAGTCAACTATCATTTGGGTCATTCCGACGAACGAGTTTGTCGCTGTCCGGGGCTTACGCATTTCTCTCTTCGTCGGTTTCGGAACTTTCGTCGACGGCAGTTAGCTTCACCATTTGCGAATTGGCGAAATTAAATTCAAGAAAAGGTTATATATGATAGAAAATGCGATAAAAATTCCACGGCAAAAGAAAAGCACAAGTGTTTCATCCGCGATTCGATATTCGAAATGAAACACCTCGATCGTGCCGTTTGTGATGTTAATTTTTCCTACACAGAGAATAAGGTTTCTTTAGATTTAGTATTTCTATTTATTTGACTGAAATTTATTTCATAGAAACAACACGTACGAGATATTATTTGTTTGGGTAAAAATTGTATTGTCTCATTCAAGGAAACTCTATTATTTAACAGAAAGAACGCTATTATTTGAAATAATATCATTTAACCAAATAAAACATCAACGAATAATTCCTTTATAAGAAAATTATCTTTCGTCTCAAACAAATTTGTTATTTAAGATAAAGATGCATATTCGTTAAAAAGTCTACAATCGTACTTATTAATCGAAACGTCAGTTTCTACGGAGCATACCAATGATGAAATTTGTTTGGATGCGATAAAATTGATTAAATTTGAAGAAATTTTTCTCTCTAATTTCGAACATTACTGTTACATTATCGTAACGTCTGAAATCAGCCATATACTCAGTCATTGGAAGACTCAGGTAGCCGGGTAAATCGAAATTGCCAATACTACTAGTCCGCGGTCCTATCCGAAATGGAAATTCCAATGACCGAATGGAAATGCGGGAATATACCGCGAAATCCACCGTGCGTCGCGGGAAACATCACCCGCGGGGAAAATCAGTCGCTTCTGTAGCGGACGGTAGAATCCGTAGTCGGCCAGTTATCCGCAGTTGGCCACTGATCTGATATAATTCTGACGAATGATCTATATCTCTAAACATGCGTATAAAAAAAGAAGCAATTCAATCGCGCGCGATAACTCGCTCTTCGATCGGGCTTCATTTTCGATCTTATCATTCATAATGTAAGTGAAATGTCTTGTATATTTCTAATCGATAAAAATCTCCACACGAGATAACGCGTTACCCTTTGACGAGAAATATAAATATATGTTGACTTCTCTCTGATACAACGCGAAGTATTATCGTTCGCGAGATCATGAAACCTGCCTCTTATCAAGTATGATCGCGCACAATAGAATTTTCATGAACAGAAACGATTTTTCGGCCGATCCCTCCCTTTCCAAGTCGAAAGTCAAATTTAAAAAGGGAAAAAGATATCGGATGAGAGATAAGCGACCGGGACACACACGGGGACAAGAGAAAACTTCTAACATGCCGCTTGATGCCGCGTTTTTTCAAGTCTTGATAAGATCGATAGAGGGAAGAAGGGACATTCCTTCGCTGGGAAGGCGCATAAGTCGAGTAAACACACTGGAGAAGCGCCATCCAAATGTCCACAGCGGAGATCAACGTTGCTAGGATGAAGGCAAGATCTATTTTCACTTACGATATATCGCAGCCAGACACGCGTCTGAACCTTAACCCGTTATTCGTGCGCGCTCGACATTTTATTGATGTGACAGATGATTATATTTCGTGGTGGGAGGGGAGAAAAATGCGGATCGATTTCCCCGTCGACTGCATTTCGTTGCGACGCTTTCCATGTTCGCAAGTAATATGACAATTACGCTTCAAGAGAGAAGAAAGAAGATCAAGTCAAGATCGACGTGAAAGGTGTGACTCACCGAAACAACTCAGTAAATTACTCCGATTACGCGGAACATAAATAAGTGCTGTACATGTTTGCCCGCGCGTAATGCGTTGTATTGTATTTTGAAGATAACTATCAATCGCACAATCCAATCGCCTGCGATTGGACGAATCCTAATCACGAAACGATTAGATTACGATTATAGGAATTCCTGAACAATTAAAACGTCTTTTCCCACAAACCGAAATATTATATTAAACCTTTGATTCCGCAACACAGTAGCAGTTAAGATAGCAAGAAATAGCTTCAATTTTTAAGCTACTTTTATAACATAATTTTATCCCTATTTTGTCTTAAGTTTCGCCGTTTCAGCGTCAAAGTTGTTGAAGATAGCAGATAGCATAATTCGATCTGAAATTAAAGGTTCTCGAAAAAGAAGTCAGTAAGTCATTCGGTTCTTATTAATCTATCTAAATAAGCTATCCTTCTATTTCGGCTCGGGTCCGAGTGATGAAATTGCGCGTGTACGCTGAGAAAAAGAGATTCTTCAGATTGAATCAATTTTATCGCATTCTCGCTCTCATCGATCCTACGGTGACGAAACGGAGAACGCGAATTCAGTTCTATCAGCGGGGCCAATGTTATCGAGGATGATTCAAAAAGCGTCTTGAAGATAATATCCGACGTAACTATGCAGGGATATCAGTTCTCGTTTGTGGACTGTGGATGACGAGACCCCGGCCGACACGAGCGCAAGGTCTGTATAAATGCGTGCGTCCGTTCATGAGTTCCAGTCGGTGGGAGGTCAGCCTCTCGGCGAGAACGATACGACGCACATTGCTGTATCGTTACTTTTCTTTTTCCCCTCTATCGTTCTCGCGGCCTTCCTCCCACCGTCTTCCCGTCGCGGCTACCGTTTCCACTTCAGCCGTTCACGACGACTGCGATCGCACCTGGAAAATCGCGAGCGATGCAAACAATATCGCGCCGGCTAGTCGCGTCTACGTTGTGTGATGACATTCGCCTGCGTCACGTCGGACGATTTAAAGGACAGGTGCCCGAGGTGCTAATCTGCGTTAATGTCTATGGAAAGTCAAGCGATCAGTGAGTGTGCATCTTTTCAGTGATAGTAGTGTGTATAGATTAGTACGCCGGTTAATGACAGCGTGTTAAACGAGGTAAAACTTGTTCGCAGAACCCGAAGTGTAACCCGCTCGCAACAGAGGAATTCTAGATAAGGCCCGGCCTCGAGAGCGCGCGTTATTATCGGAATTACAATATTAACATATTAAAAGAGTCGTAGCTACGCTTCGTTTTGAACGTTTTGCAATTTTTACATTTCGCGCTAACACCTGCTAATTGATTTTTAACTTATAAAAATTTACCTTCACTTGGATCAATTATACTTTCATTGGATTTAATTATCGATGCGAAACGTATATATCGATACTCCGTCTGTTTGATTACGATATTGGTGATTAAGGGGAAAGCATTTTAACGCTCTCTTTGGTGAAAATATAGCGGCAAGTTGTATGAACTCACGTGCAATTCTCCGTTAAACAGCTGCACACGTATGACTAAGCTCACGTGTAATCGGACCTGTCGGTGTAAACACAATGCGGCCATAAACGTCATAATCCTTCTCGATACTCCTTTGTGTCGGAAAGTGCGCGTTTGTAAAGCAGATTTAAAAATAGATTCCAATAACCGAACGATCCGCGCCAACGTGCCGCGATGACAATGCCGCAACGTTAAATCGATATTCGAGGTGAACGATTCAATGTGACAATCAAAGTCAACGCGAGTGCCGCGAAATTATGAAAACTTGCATTACAAGTTCGGGAACGTAAAAATCGTGAATTACACCGATAACAGTAACATTATAAATAACGTTACAAATAATAACGTTTTATTAATTACATTTATACATGTGTAAATTATTAAGTATTTGAATAACCCCATAAATAATAAAAGTTAAAGAAGAGTTCTTCTTGAGAAACTCGAACAGAAGTCTTCAAGATGTTTGACGTCGCAACGGAATTGTTGAATCACCCCTGTCTGCTGATCGGGCTCGTCCTCGGTGGCTTGTACTTTTACTTCACGGCAACGTTCAATTTTTGGGAATGCCGTGGCGTACCGTTCAAAAAGCCGACCGTGCTCGTCGGCAACTTCGGTTCCTCGCTGCTGTTCCGCAAGTCGGTACCGGAAGGTATCGAAGAGATGTACCAATGGTTCAAGAACGAAAGGTTCTTCGGTGTATTTCGCGTAAGATCACCCATGTTGATTTTGCGCGATCCTGATCTGGTGAAGAGCGTGTGCGTGAAGGATTTCCCTTGCTTCACCAATCGTGGGATTCCGATCAACAACTCTCAGGTACGTCTCCTGCAACTCCTCTCCACGACGAGTTTGATACTCGCGCCGGTCACACGCGAGTGAACTTGATTCTTCTATTTTACTTTCATTATCGATCTGTTAATCTGCTATTCCAAGAAATCGAAACGGGAAAACTGTTCTCAGTGTGTGGCGCTTTTCAAATTAGTTTATTCATTCTCTATGAGCGCGTAATATTCCTACAATATTATATGAATATTATACAATGTTAAAATAATAATATTCTAAGAATGTTATTTTTTAACATTATAGGAATGTTCTATTGATATTATATCCACTTCACATAATATTCTTGGCATATTGCAAAAATGTTTTTAGAATATTAAAAAAATAATAATAATAATACAAATATATATGTATAATTTTCTTAGTATAAAACGTATTTTTACAGAAAATTCTTCCAGCTTTATGTGATAAAATAATTGGTATTGCAATACATTTGAAATAAAAAGACAACAATTATATTACATCTAATATTCTAAGAATATTACTTAACACTAAATAATATTACTCTTACATTAGTTTCGCAAAAGCTCGCCGTGTTTTACACGCTCGGCATATATCGATCGACGTGAATTTCATCGTGCTTTGTATACTTCGCGTCAGGACCCGCTCTCCGGACACCTATTCAATCTCGAAGGACGCAAGTGGAAGGGCCTCAGGTCGAAATTGACGCCCGCGTTCTCGTCCGGCAAACTCAAGCGAATGTTTTACCTGCTGGTGGAGTGCGGCGAGGAACTGCAGAAGCTCATCGACGCGAGCTGCAACGCGAATCGAACGGTGCTCGAGGTACGGGAACTAGCGGCGAAATTCACCATCGACGTCATCGGCAGCTGCGCCTTCGGCATACAGATAAATGCGCTCACCGACGAGGAATCCGAGTTTCACAGGGCGGCGAAGAGGCTCTCGAGGCCGAGCTACAAGGCCACTCTCTGGAGGATGCTACGAACGGCGATGCCGAGGCTGTACAGGTGGCTCGGCGTGCAGGTCATCGACCCGAGTGTCACCAGATTCTTCAAGAACGTGGTGTCGCAAATGATCAGCCGGAGAGAGAAGAACGGCACGAAGAGGCACGACTTCATGGATTTACTGATCGAGCTGAAGAACAGGGGCGCGTTGGAGAACGAGGCCGGAAACGCGCAGATCTACAGCGAGGAGGACGCTCAAGCGGCGAAGGAAATCGGTAAAATCAAGTATAACGTTCGAACGCGAACAATTCGTTTCGCCAAGTTTCAGCAATTGAATGTTTTTCCCCGCGATCCTCACTTCCGATGTAATTTGTTTATTTGACTTTTAACGTGCTTTTTTACAGATGCTAATTATAAAGTTACGCAGAAAAAGTTCGCTCTTGCGTTGTTGCAACTATTATCCGGTATCGGGGGGAGGGGGG